TATCCAATGATGGAAAAATTTTAAACTCAAAAATTTGCATTGAACAATTGTTTAAAGTAAAGCATGACATCCATGATAAAGCATGAGACTTTCAAATTTTTGTTTAAAATTCATTTTAGAAACTTTTTCGGGTCCGTCTGGTTTTTGCAAAGGTGAGGCGAGAAAAAGTGGGGGAAATGAGAGGGAAAGCGTGATCGGCATGTCAATTTTGTGTGGTGACAAGCTTTTAGGGCAATGGAAAGTGGGGGAAAATCAACCGGAAAACGAAAAAGTGCAGCCAAGGAAAAGCAACTGTTTGTTGGAGCTGACTTAGAGCTATAAAAAAAAAGGCGTACATTCAATTTTTGTGTTGGTTCAATTACCCAAATCGTTTCCAAAATCAAAACTGTTTACAACAAAGTTTCTTGTGCCTTCCAACTAAGCGAAATACAAAAGATTATTGGAATTGAGTGTTGGCACTTCGCAGTTACCCGGTTTAGTTACCCAAGTCGTCGACATCGGAAACGAAATTGACTATCGATAAAATCCAATAGCAACTGGGTTTCTTGTGCCTTCCAACTAAGCGAAATACAAAAGATTATTGGAATTGAGTGTTTGGGGCCTTCGTAGTTACCCGGTTTAGTTACGCACATCGAAAAAAAAGAAATCGACTATCGATAAAATCTGATAGCAACAAAGTTTCTTGTGCCTTCCAACTAAGCGAAATACAAAAGATTATTGGAATTGAGTGTTTGGGACCTTCTCAGTGACTCGGTTCAGTTACCCAAGTCATCCACATCGAAAAAAAGAAATCGACTATCGATAAAATCCAATAGCAACTGGGTTTCTTGTGCACTCCAACTAAGCGAAATACAAAAGATTATTGAAATTGAGTGCTTGGGGCCTTCTCAGTTACCCGGTTTAGTTACGCAAGTCGTCGACATCGGAAACGAAATCAGCTATCGATAAAATCCGATAGCAACAGGATTTCTTGTGCTTTCCAACTAAGCGAAATACAAAATATCAGCAAAATTAGATGCTCTATCTTTGACATTTAGAACTCGTCTCATTTTTCTCTTTCCTTTCACCCCCTCCAATCAAGATGCTGGGGTGCTAATTACTTTCCGGCTTCTCTCTTCCCATGGAAAGCCTCTCGATTTGCATATCTAAAGATTGAATTGGTCAATTGGTATCCTATCTCATTGATTTTCTTGTTGTTACCAGCTAGTCAAAGGCTAAAAGGCAATCAGGGTTAAATCAGATTTTAACCTGACTGCCTTTTAGTGCTAGAGCCAAAGAACTTTGTGTTGTGAACACATAAGTGCCAGAGCCAAAGAACTTTGTGTGGTGTCAAAAAAGTCAAAACGATTTTGTTGTTGTTGCCAGCTAGTCAAAGGCTAAAAGCCAGTTGACAACAAATTTTTTTTTTTAAATCTTTAGAAAACCAAAGCAAACACTTTCAAAGCCTCAATTGACCTCCATGATTTGCAAAAAAAAACTCAAAATAAAGAGCAATTTGTAAGGGAAAAGCTCTTGAACAAGTCTCGTAAACGATCGGGGTGAAATCGGAGCCGCGAAGACGGCGATTGAGAAGTTCATTCACAGCAAAGTTCTAGCTGGATAGCACTCGAGACACCCACGTGTTGAGTCACTTTTTGGAAGGTAATTGAGAATTTGATATTTGGAGATTGATCTCTAGGCTCAATCATATTCAGGGGCTGGCAAAATATTTCAAATGTCTTTTTTAAGGTTGTAAATCTCAGACTTTCGTCTTCTATAGTATATCAGATTGATCAAGGACACACTAGACCTGGTCTGGCTTTTGGTTTGGGTTTGGGTTTGGGTTCGGCTTCGGTTTGGCTTTGGGTCTGGTTTTGGGTCTGGCTTTGGGTTTGGGTTTGGCTTTGGGTCTGGCTTTGGGTCTGGCTTCGGTTTGGCTTTGGGTTTGGGTTTGGCTTTGGGTCTGGCTTTGGGTCTGGCTTCGGTTTGGCTTTGGGTTTGGGTTTGGCTTTGGGTCTGGCTTTGGGTCTGGCTTCGGTTTGGCTTTGGGTTTGGCGTCGGTTTGGCTTTGGATTTGGCTTTGGGTTTGGCTTTCGCTCTGACTTTCAGTTTGGCTTTTTATTGATACTTTGTCCAGAATGCAGAATCGCTTCTCCCGCTTCTCCCCAAGCCTCGACGAAAAGGCACAATCTCTCAATTTTGTTATTTTAAGTTTCATGGCAAGCATAGAGCGCCGCGATCCCATTCCTAGCATCAACGACCATTTCCTTCTATTGTTTGAAAAATTTGTGTTCATCGAAAGAGGACTGCCGCAAAACAAAGGCTTAGACATCGATTGAAATCAAAAATTTTTTTGCGTTTTTCACAAATATGGGTAGCAATTTGGAGAATGGACGGCTTTGCTGATCGATTTTTTGTATTTTTCGACTACTCGAATTTGTTGTTTACGAAATGCCCATTGTCATCCCGAACTTTTCATTCGGCACGTATTTTTCTGAAAACAGTGTCACTGAAAACTTTTCAGACGCTTTGCGGAATTAATGAAGATTACGGTAAGCTTTTCAAGGATATAAAGAGGAAACGACTGGGGGAAGAATCAGAAAACAGTAGCTGAGAAAAGTTAGCCACCATTTTTTGAGAAATTTCGATTTTGATTGAATTTTTGATCTATCTGGATAGCACACTATTGAAAGTTAATTACAATTTGAGAATTTTGAGTTTTAATGAGTAAAAGTAAGTTTCAAGTACTCACCTTAGTTTGGCTTTCTTTTCTTTCTATTAAACTTTTTATTAGGTGTTTCTTTCTTCTTAGTCTATCTGGATATCACAAATTGAGAATTTTGAATTTTAATGAGTAAAAGTAAGTTTCAAGTACTCACATCTCATAGCTTGACTTTCTTTTCTTTCTGTTTAACTTTTTATTAGATTTTTCTTTCTTTTTTAGTCTATCTGGATAACACAATTTAAGAATTTTGAATTTTAATCTGAGTTTCAAGTACTCACGTCTCACAGCTTGGGTTTCTTTTCTTTCTGTTAAACTTTTTATTAGATTTTTCTTTCTTTTTAGTCTATCTGGATATCAGCAAATTGAGAATTTTGAATTTTAATGAGTAAAAGTAAGTTTCAAAGTACTCACGTCTCACAGCTTGGGTTTCTTTCCTTTCTGTTAAACTTTTTATTAGATTTTTCTTTCTTTTTAGTCTATCTGGATATCACAATACGTGTTTTTAATGAAATTGATAAAAAAAGAAAGAAATTTGTGAAACATTTTTTTTTGAACATTTCTCTTTTGCACTTTCTATCAAATTTTTCGATTCTCTTTTTCTTTTGTCGATCACTCGAATTGATTTCGTGATGATCACCGAGTATTTACCTATTTTTCCCATATCTTTTGATTTCTCTCATAAATGGTCAATGTTTTGCGGGAGTAGATTCTTCGAGAAATATACTAGACTGTTTTCTAGAAGGCGCTCTCCGGGAAAACTTACACCCGCCCGTAATACGGTTACAATTTCCATTCAAATCAATCCACAACTCGTTTCGGCTTTCCTGGGATGCACATAAGTTTTCTGGAAACTTTTTTGTTTTCAGGTCAGAGTCAGAGAAGGCGGTCAAAGAAGGCGAAAGGTCAGAGTCAGACTTGGTGGCAGCCATGGACTTTTTTGACGCTTTACCAGCTACCCTGTCACTATTCAAATCAATCCACAACTCGTTTCCTGGCTTTCCTGGAAGGCACATGGGTTTTCTGGAGATTTTCTGTAGCCAGAAGGCCAAAGGTTAGAGTCATGGTTGTTTGCAGGAATGGACTTTTGAGGCTCCTACCAGCTACCCGGTCACTATTCAAAGTAGTCCAATGCTTGTTTTGGCCTTCCCTGGCAGGTACATAAGTTTTCTGGAAACTTTTTGTAGCCAGAAGGCCAAAGGTTAGAGTCATGGTTGTTTGCAGGAATGGACTTTGACGCTTTACCAGCCATCCTTTCACTATTCAAAGTAATCCAATGCTCATTTTGGTTTTCCTGGCAGACACATGAAAGACCGATACCGGTTTTGTCGAGAGTTTCCCAAATTACCCGGTGTTGTTTTTGCGAGTGCCTATTTTCGTCTCACCACTGATCAAGCGATAATGACGATCTCTCATCATCAATAACCTATCTCTCATCATCAATAACCTATCTCTCATCATCAATAACCTATCTCTCATCATCAATAACCTATCTCTCATCATCAATAACCTATCTCTCATCATCAATAATATTTTCGCATGATCTTAGCTGAATAAAATGAAAAAAAAAAAAGTACACGAAAACCCATTCTTTTTGATAAGATTTTCTCTAAATATCAAAAGAATTTTTGGTGTTTATTTGCTGATCTTTGTGTACACAATGTTACTATGTTTTCCCGTTGAAAACTGCCGATTTCTAAACGCTTCCCATTATTTTCGATGATTTTTGATGGTTTGCTGGAATGCAGTTTACCTGTCTGGCTTCATTTCCCAGCTGGTGAAAGTTTTATTTTGGTGCTGAGTTGACTCGGCCGTATCTTGCTTAGCACTGACTTTTTCTTACTTCCAGACTTGTCAATGCTTATTCTGGAAGTCATGCAACTCTTTCAGCTAATTAATTGAGTCCAGAGTTACAGTCTTTAACGCCCAGTCTTTAAGGCCCAGGCTTTAAGGCCCAGTCTTTAACGCTCAGTCTTTAAGGTCCAGTCTTTAACGCCCAGTCTTTAACGCCCAGTCTTTAAGGCCCAGTCTTTAAGGCCCAGTCTTTAACGCCCAGTCTTTAAGATCCAGTCTTTAACGCCCAGTCTTTATAAGGCCCAGTCTTTAACGCCCAGTCTTTAAGATCCAGTCTTTAAGGCCCAGTCTTTAAGGCTCAGTCTTTAACGCCCAGTCTTTAAGATCCAGTCTTTAACGCCCAGTCTTACCTATTTAATTTTTAATTTTTCTATTTTCAAAGTTTTATCTCATTTTTCTTTTGTAAACATTGTAGTGTGTTCCAGGATTTCCAAAAAGCAAAGAAATGAGCTTTGAAAAGGGGCAAAGTGGCGAGAAATCGACACCAGATCCAAGCACGACGTCAAGTTTCGATGGTGGAGTGAAGAAAGTGTCAGGGATTGATGCGGACTCTGGTGAGCGGACTAATTGCTGGTTTAAGTTCATTTTTTTCAGAAACTTGTGCCCCACCATTGCATTTAGCAGTGAATGATGTACGGATGCAAAAGGAATGCTATTGTTTGGTTGTCAGGTGGGATTTGAAGAATTTTCAAAGATTCAAATAAAATCTCTTTCAGCAAATGTTGTTGTGCATCTCTGGATGTTAGGCCTTTACTGTTTTTAGTCTCAGAGCATGCATATGCTGGCGACAAAACGATCAAGTGTTAAGGTGAGGATTACGGTAACTGTATCTGACTTGGGATTACGGTAATGACTGTATTTTACTTGGGGTTACGGTAGCCGCTGTCTCACTTCAAAGAGTTACGGTAATGGCTGTATTTCACTTCGTAGTTACGGTAATGGCTTTCTCACTTGGGGGGTTACGGTAATGGCTGCCCTCACTTGGGGCTACGGTAATGACTGTATTTCACTTGGGATTACGGTAACTAGGCTAATTCTAGCTAGAGCTCTGTAGTGACACCCAGCATTCAGAGTGCAACTGATCTCATCGACTTTGTCGCCTCTGAGTGGCCACGTTGATGCAAACGACTTTCGGGCTAGGGTAATTGATTAAAGCTGGGACTTAGGCTGGATGAACGATCAAGATTCAACTCACTGAACGCTTTAGTCTATCAAATCCTACACGGTCCATCGTTTGGCCTTTTATCCCAGCACTATCAGTCTACAAATCATTGCCAGAGAACACTTGCCCGTACTCTAGAACCAGATCAGGCGCCTGAGGATTTCCTGGATGAGCCGAATTAGAGTCGTTAGTGGAGAAATGGCTGATGACTTGTAGTTTTTAAAACTTTCAGGATGGAAGGCTCGTTGCTGATCCCTTCGTCTTGCCTCTTTCTATTAGGCGCATCGGGATTGGTGGGGAAAATATCGAGAATGGTAGCTATCATCAGCTACAGAAACCAACAATGAAAAACCTTTCTAGGTTGGCCCGCTCTGCATCGCCTGTTAATGGTATTGTTAGAGATTGGCACTGTGCCAACCCCTAATCAGAAAAGATGAGTCTCCACTGGGTCTCGCTTGTGCCAGTTTTAGACAATGAGTCACCAAAATCTGACCCTTGCCCGGTCAGCTCTGATCCGTTGGATAATCTGGACCAAGCTGACCAGGATCTAGTTGGCCAACTCTACCAGGATCTAGCTGGCTAACTCTAGCAGAATCTAGTTGGCCAACTCTAGCAGAATCTAGTTGGCTAACTCCTAGCAGGATCTAGCTGGCCAACTCTGGACAGGATCTAGCTGGCTAACTCTGACAGGATCTGGCTGATCAACTCTAACAGATTGCCCTTTGAAGCAATCCTGTTGGGATAAATCAATCCCAGACTTAGCACAAAGCTTTCTATAGATCTAGACCTAGTCTAGCTTGAGCTATCTTGTCTTTATGACAACCAGTTTCAGCGAATTCTTCGTCGTTATCCTCCTCGCGGTCATCCTCGAGCCATACCTGTCCCGATCCCATATTTCTCGATCAGAAAGGAAAATTAAATTTACAAGAGCTAGAATCTTCGGAATGTTTCCAGTGAGTTGAGAATTTGAAAAAAAACTTGTTGTTTAATGCATTTAAGTATCTAATGTCTTTGCTAATGGTGTGAGTTTCTTTGCTGGATTCTCACCGTCACCAATTTTGAGCCACCAGAGGGTGAGAGGGAATTTTCGGCTTTACAAACTCTATGCTCTCCAGGTGAAGCACTGAACGGATAAAAATCAAATGGCTGAAGGTTATCTCGAATGCTCCATGATTTCATATACCGTATCCAGGTGAAAAGAGGAGTTGAATCCTTGGACTCTGGCTTTGGCACTGGGCTTGGCCTGGGCTTGTTCCTCTGGCTTTGGCTTTGGATTATCTCTGGCCCTGGCTTTGGCTCTTGGCTCTTATCTCTTTCTGGCCTGGCCTATCTCTGGCTTTGCTTGGCTTGTCTCTGGTCCCTGCTTGGCTTTGGCTTTGTCTCTGGCTTTGGCTTGGCTTGTCTCTAGCTTCTGCTTTTTGGCTTTGTCTCTGGCTTTGGCTTGACTCCAGGAAAAACCCAAAAATGCGCCACACAAAAATGTGTATTCTTTCTTAAATTTATCCTCGCTGACTTGGGCACAACCATTCTAGCGTTCAAATTGGACTCGTATTTCGAGTTTCGGCCGGGTTCAACCAAATCCAGATTCAGTTCAGTTAGGGTCAGACCAAGTCAAGGCTTGCTTTAGAACCCTGCTTAAGGCTAGGGCTGTACCAATGAAACTCCCAGCTTCATTTAGGACAATTCGGTCGTCCTGGCAATGACGCATCACTTCTGTAAGTGGTTTCTGCCTCTGAAGCCGGAGTGGTTACGAGAGAACCTGGTTGAATTACGAGATGGTGGCAAAAAGTGATTCAAGATTTATTAGATTTTCAGGCCAAAATTTCGCTAACCAATCAATTCTAGGGCTACCCTCACCCTCTTTTCCAGGTCTTTCAGCAGCGCCATCCTCCAGGAGCCGCTGTAAATCTGAGGAATCAGGCTTGATCAGCTGCAGAAACGAGTTTAACTAGTTCTGAAGAATTTGTGATGCCGTTTTTGTCTGGAATCTCTGATGTCACACTTCACAATCAGTACAAAATTTCTGTGTCTTGGCTCGATTTTGGCTGGAGTTGATGGGGATCGGTGCTGGGGTGACAACGTATGCCGGAGAATATTGCATTACGGGACATATCACTAGAGTCAGTGCTCTTTGTTCACTTGTTTTAGCTTTTAGTTTGTCCAAGGTCATCATCCAAAACTATAGGTAGCTTGAATGAGCAACAATGCAAAGTGGCAGGGATACTTCTTGCATCATCATCGGACTTTTTACGAAAAGGTAGGTTGACTGGAAATGATCTGAGATCTGATCTGAGAAAGAGCTGAGAGCTGATCTGGAGAGCTGATCTGAGAGCTGATCTGAGAGCTGATCTGGAGAGCTTGATCTTGAGAGCGGATCTGAGAGCGGATCTGAGAGCTGATCTGAGAGCTGGATCTGAGAGCTGATCTGAGAGCTGATCTGAGAGCGGATCTTGAGAGCTGATCTATGGGAGCTGATCTGAGAGCTGATCTGAGAGAGCTGATCTGAGAGCTGATCTTTGAGCTGATCTGAGAGCTTATCTGAGAGTTTATTCAAAGAGCCGATCTGGGAGCCGATCTGGGAGCTGATCTCTGAGAGCTGGATCTAGAGCTGATCTGAGAGAGCCAACACCTACTCCTTTCATCTCTTTCATTTCATTGTAAACCTGGAAATAGCACAGAATATAGAAGAAGTTAGAATGATCAAAAATGATTAAAATTTTTAGTGGCTGCTGTTCTAGTTTATGTTCCATGATGCAATTGTTGGCGGATTGCTCGGCATTGGAATGGCGATGATTATGATGTATCAATAAGCAATTTGAGGGTGCGTAAGGACAATCGTACTCACTATTGCTGAAAATTTGAACCAAGTTTAGACAGTGAACATGCAACTCTCAAGAAATGTGGCTGTCCTTGGATTATCTCTATTATCCGGTTTAGCACTCCTGATTATCTTGAGAAGTATCCTCCAAAAACTGGTAATAACTTGCATCAAGTTTTCAATAACTTTATCAATAACTTTTCAATAACTTTATCAACAACTTTATCAACAACAACATCCTTTTTCAGGCATGCAACAGTCGATCAAGTCTTCTGATCACAATGTTTCAATTCGAATGCTAATCGGTGGACTAATCGCTTTCATTTTGGATAACACAGTGCCCGGTGGGGTTTAGCTGAATAGTGATTACCCAATTCTGAATAGTGATTACCCAATTCTGAATAAAGATTACCCAATTCCGATCAGTGATTACCCAATTTCTGGAAATTGAGTGATTACCCGATTCTTTGTAGTGATTAGTCAATTCTGGAATAGTGATTACCTTAATTCTAGCATTTATTTGAAAGCTCATCAGCAATCAGCATTCTTTACAGGTGTTACCAAATTTCAATCCGGTTTCCGCCAGCTGGTGAAAAGCATGCAATGGTGCCATTAGAAGAAGACGGCTATGCTTTCCAATCTTTTATCAATCGGTTAGCTTTTTTAAAAAGACATTTCTAGTAATTGTATGAGAAAAAAAATGACAAATAATAATAGTAAATTTCCAAGCATTATGCTAAGTTAAAATAAAACAGACTGAGCACTTCTTTGGATTGAAAGCTGACAATAGTTAGATAGAAAAGGGCTTGCACCTTACTGGCTCAATTTCAAAAATAACCTGTAACTTAGGCTTTTTAGTCTCAAAGTCTAAAGATTCAACTCAGAGCTGAGCCTTAAGGTTTAAGAGAGATAAGGAACCAATTTTCGAGAAAAGGAATCGGATTTAGAGATTAAAGAATCAAATTTAGAGATGATGAATCAGATTTAGAGAAAAGGAATCAGATTTAGAGAGATAAGGAACCA